GAAAAAATCAAATTACCCTTATAAAAATGGCGCAGGTCTCATTTTCATTGAACTACCTGTATTTTTGAAATTTAATTTTTTTCTAGAGACTTCCTACAGCTACTGGGTTGAAGACAGAGACTTTTGTATCTGACACTTAAAACTAGATCTTAAAGTCATGTCAATAAATATATCTGAATTTTTGAAAAATGCAAATGCAGATATTCAACGACGGAATGGATGAGTTTGGCGTGATAAACCTAAGAACCTGAGTTCGAATCCCAGCGGGGGGAAATGCATGCTAGTTGGACAAACTTTTGCTGGTTCAAATAGCATTACAATATTGCGTAGCCGCTTCATATAATGAAATAAAGTAAATGATGTTGTAGCATTACTAGTTACACCTTTTCTTCCTATATTTGTGTTTCTTATATGATTTACAGTGTATTGAGAAAATTTTTAAAAAACATCCTTAGTACATACAAAACTTGAATGCAGGAGATATTACATGTTACAAAATGTCTGTATTCCTATTTTTTGACATGGAATGTATTATCCAGTACCTTTCCTTCGGTTTTTTTCCGTTGAAATGTCTGTTATGGGTTTTGTATCGGAGCTAAATCACATTTTCATTGCCATAGACATTCATTTTTTAGAACTCTTCTGAAATATTTAGTACCCATAAACGATAATGAATGGAGTAACACATTTAAATCATGTTTCATGTTCACCGCATAACACTACTCTAGGGGACGTAAATGATGAGAATTTATCAGGATTGCATGAGGTTCAAAATCTCGTGAATCGTTTGACTATCTTGAGTTGTAAATCGTACTATCTTTGCCCCCCCCCAAAGGCTATCAATGCCATGTAGAGGAATGTGCTTGGGGCAGGTGTACTGGGGGAGTAGCAGATAAGCAGGTGAGCACTTCCCTTTTCTGAGCGGCGAGTGCCGACTGAACGTGAGTGGCGTGGGCGGTGTGGGCGATCGAGGGCGATCAGGGGCGTGCAGAGATGTTTCGAGCAGGCGAGGTTCCTGTATTGTCTTGCCTTGCCGTGCCTTGCGTGGCCTTGCACAAGCTGTCCTGAACTTGAGAACAGGACGCTTGACGGATGGCAATTATTTCACGGCGCTTCACACTCTACCAATAATGATACTGACTTCGTTTAATAAACACCTCCGATCCTCGTTAATTTGGTATTAAGGTAATAGAAAGATAGAATATTGAATTACCGAACTCTACGAGTTACTGAGAAGTGTGTTATAAATTTTAAAATCAGAGATCTGAATGCTATAACTGAAATTTGAATATTGTATGGCGTACAAAAAACGAATCGCCTAGAATACCCCTCCGCATATCATTTTTATTGGCTGCCCCCTGCAATTGCCCCTCCAACGTTCAACGTGATGTCGCCACGCGTTTGGTATCGGTGGCAGATGATGTTCTTCTAGCACAATTACATCACGCACATTAGACGCGAACCGCGGTGGCCTAAGTTGGCCGCAAAGAGTAGCGCTGGGGAGGACAGGAGAAATAAACGCTCGGGAAGCTAGCTGCTCCTTCATGGTCGTGCCGTAGGCGTGAAGCCTAAATATTTAATAGATCATCACAAGCAATCTATAATCATATGTAAGAAATATGTTAACGGTTGTTATATCGTTATTAATGTAAATAATCTTACCTTTTAAAAACAGACGTACTTTTGACGTACTTTTTCAGAAATTTATTTCATTTGACCATTTTTGTTTCTGTTTCAAAACATTGTACCTAGAGACCGAATTGTAAAAAAATAATGTAAAAATATGGAATAAAATGTCACAGAAGAAAGTCAATATTAAAGATGTATATACGTAAAAATGTTGAAATCACGTGACCAACTAATCAGTTGATACGATCATCATTACTGTTGTAGGCAGCTGTAGCCGTACAGATAATCCCGTCAAATGTTTAGTAACAAATTCGATCTTCAATAACTCTGAATCTAATTGCGCTATTGGAATGAATTAAAAACTACGTAGAAAGAAATTTATTGGGATATAGAAACATTTCATTCTCTTTGGTGAAATTACTCGCTTCTTCCAGGATATTTGTAAAAGTCGGAAAATATACACACTAATTGTGTCTGGGAGTAGGAAAGGAGGAGGAAATTTTTACAAAATCTCATACACACAGCAAATTTGACTGTTTTTGAATGTCGTGTGAACAACATTTCATTACTTTTACAATAAAACTGAAGATTTGAATAAAAAACCACAAACTCTCTTCTTTATATATATGTGGAGATGAAAGATTTCAAAGAAGTATTTTGAGTTATACCCGTCAAGACACTCTACTTTTTATTGAAACCCGCCTCAAAACCTTTTCAGCCATTCCAGAGATTACTCTTGGCAGACTGGCAAAAATCGTAAATAAATTGAAATGGTTATTTTTTTATCTAAATAATCATATGCAATAAAACTATCTTCTTTAGAAATCACTTCAACACACTCGAATTCTATTTACAGGCAGAAGTACCTCTTTCGATTTCTCTCGACAAGGCAAATCAATTGGAACTATTCTTAGCCTGTTCTCTCTACGATCTTTTGAAAGAATTATAGAAAAACAGGCATTTCTTATGGTTTCAATGCACCTACCGAAACATTGGTAAAATTCTGAGAATTGCTTTACTCTTTACGGCATTTACATGAATAGTTACTACTTTACTTATTGAATTGATGACCAATGAACGTAGTTTTTAAATTAATTACAAAAACATGTGTAGGGAGGGTGTTGTTCACCTCCACAGAAAGTTTAAATTGTCATAACTATACTCAAATATTTCTAATAATCTTATGAATACGTGACTTACTGAAGATGTCTTATTCGAGACAAGGAATAGGATTTGGTGGCAAAAGGTGACTTTTAGTGGCGGAGGAAGCCTTAACATACCACAACAAACTTCGTCTATGACTCGGGATTTGATAGCCCAGAAGTAACCTATACATAACCAGAAGTAACCTATACAGGCCGACTAGGAATGAAAGGATGTTTGTTGGAAGGTTATACAAGGTTATTGTAACCTGCCCCAATAGACACTCGCATATCTATGCACGGGAAATTCAACTCGAAAACCTTTGAAGCCAATGAGGCGCACCCGCCTTAGCATTTCCTTAATGATAAAAAGAAAACACTAAAAAGGCTAAATGTTTCTATTACTGCTAGCTGTCGGCTGACGCCGCGTCGTTGGCAAGATAGACCAATGGTCTATCTGCCAACGACGCGGCATCCCGACCAGACCTAGAAGTAATGGACTCGAGCCGCGGGAAGCCACGTGTTATAAATGTTCTATATTTCTAAGGAGAACTGGTGCAAGCCACTCATTTAAATGACCATATTTGCGTGGTACAATGTATGACCTTTCTTCAAATTTAAAATCAATATTTTATCGTCACAAAAACGTTTTCAGATTCTGATACACTTCATGTATATCTCCCGCAAAACTATAATACAGCCTAGAAACAATAACATTAGGGTCTGCTGAGCGACTTACCTGGACAAGAACACATTGTGAGATAATCCAACAATCCACATAGGAATATTACGCACATTCCTCACTTGCTCACAACAGTGGACCACCATTGTCAAAGGGCACCTTAGATATCAGTTTCACTGCAATTATCGCTTGGTGCTACACAATTACAACTGCAATGCGATATCTCAGGCGTCGCCGCGATTAAACACAAGCTACATTCGTTTGAACTGGACTCGAACTCTAGGCCTTGGAAATTGCAATGAATGTCAAACAGTCATTTTATTGTATGAAAATTGTCGTGAATTCTCCTAAGAAATTATCTTCATTCAATTTAAATTGGCAGATTATCATACAATTGCTGACAATTTAATTGCACAATGCATAACACGTTTTGTAATACTAACAGTACATATTTTTTAAGTTCTAAAATATTTTTCATTTAAACGATGACAAATATGTCGGTAGCAATGCAACGTGGTTTTGACACAATGTACAGGTATCTTCTGGGTAGGGCGTACGGTTAAAATCCCCTAATTTTGGTTTTTTCATTACCCCACTAGGATTTTGTATCAGGGCACTTACAGGACAACCGAGTTGACCAACGATAGAGTTAAAAATATTGATAAATAATAATAAATACTTACATTTTATCAAGGAAAATAATCATGTTTATCATATGTTTCTTATTATTTTGAACACAGACACAATATATGAAACTAATAGTATAAGTAACATTTTATACATTTTGATAAAAATGTGTATATATTAGGCCATATTTCAGTTGAAATGTGATTTTCTGGTTTTAATGAACAATTGAAATGTCGTGGTGTCAATGACGAAACAAAGCACTACGAATTTAGAGTAATATTGCGTTAAATAGTCAGTTTTCTTAGAATTTCGTATCTGTTATATCTTTCGGGTTTTCGCTGATTCATTAAGTTTTTTCTTTAATAATAATTACTTTTATAGTTAATTATACGATTTAAGATTAAACCAATACCTACACAAATTACAGAAGCTCTAAGGGTACTATTTAATGTAATGATCGGTAGTCATTGGCATTATAGAATAGAACCCCTATTTACGATCCATTGCCATTTATTTCATCAGAGCATGTCTCTGTATTCGTACGTCAATTGTCAAAGTAATAAACCGTCTAAACTCGGCTGGTAATCACACAAATACAAAAAAGATAATTATATATGTATATAATATATAATTAATTATATATCTGTGGAGGATACGTGGCTGTAGGTGTGAGGGAGGTTGTTATATACGGTCTAAACGCTGTTTGTTAATGGCGTTGACTAGAATTAGCTCTGGAGTGCTAGGCAGTGCATTAAGTAAAACATGAGAAGAGTAATAATGCCACTCTTTTTCGATGACGAGTAAACGTCTCAACCATTAATAATAGAAACACCAATAAGCCGCACACTTTAAGAGTCTGGGGGTCATTAAAGAAACATTTAAAATTATGCAAACAAGTTATTATATTCCTAATTTTTCAGTCGTGCCCGGAACTGGAACTGCGTAGAAGTACCAAAAGCCGGAGCCAAGGAGTGGAAGTCCCACAGAAGACATCGGATGATGTTCCCAAGTGGGTGGCTTCTCAAACTACCACGAATCTCGTCTCGACCACTATTCACCCCCACAATCACACCTCCATCCGATGGAAGGCAATAGCAAATCTCATCTGTGACTATTTTCCCTGAAAACTAGTGGTTCTACAACAGCCCACACTTCAAATTTCGGGTGACGCCGCCGCGTCATCTTCCTCAAGACTGGTTTGCCAGCCCAATCCATCCCAGCCCTGATGAAGCCACAACAAGATGGTCGAAATGACAGCCGAGGTCATTTGCTTGACACTGGCCGCGGAAGCTACGTCTACACAGCCCATACTTTCTCGCATTATTTTTAACGTCGGGAATTTTTTAAAATTCAGACATTTCTATGAATGTAACGTCTCTGCCAGTTTCTTTGCTCTATCCATAGAAAAAATGCTAACAAAAAATTGGAGCCGTTTCAGATATTTTCCCCCATCAATTTCATTAACTTCAAGCGAAATTTCACAAAAACTATTGTTTTTTAATAGTACATTAGCTTTCTAAAGATTTGATTTTAAGACAGATTTTATTTAACAAAAAATATGTATCATCAATGTTTTACATTTGCAATGTTAACGTTTTGCAATATTCGAAAACTCAGAGAGTTTCCCATAAATGTGATTTTCATTTTTCATGAAAGCATTTTTAATGTTCTTTGATACATACAATGATAAAATTTAAAGAAAAAAATAGGGCCACTTTTATAAAATAAGTGTTTTAAAATTATCTATATTTCACGCAAAATTACTCAAAACGACTTACATTTTTAAAAAAGGGAGCAGCGTTCAAGGCGGCGTTTCAGAGCTGGAAGAAGCGCTATGTGAGTTACGCTCCAATGACACAATTTTGAAGGCGACAAGTTTGATTAACATGTATGTAAAGAAACAAACATTTATTTGGAAGAGTCCGGTCTTTTTTTATCATTCCTTGTATTTTAAGGTGTCATTGTACCACAGATTCCATTAAGGAAAAATACATATATTTCATAATGTAGTTATAGTAAGATTCCGCAAAAAAAAATGATTTCAGTTGTGTCACTCTTTTAGCCGTCCATCCGAGGACAAAATGTAATGAACAAATTTTGAGCCATTTTTGAGCAAGTTTTGAAAATGTTGTTCAGGCTTTATACAAACTATCCTAAAAAATTAAAATATTCATTTCGAACTCCCACGAAGGCACATACAGGTAGGCAAACGTGTTGCAGTCAATCAGTTTTGCCGAATCAAGGCCTCACAAAACGTAGATTCTGACTAAACAATTTGTTAGAGGAGGTAATTTACTACATGTGGGAACAAGATTTACTTACATTTTCGTTACTACACAATTTTCACTACAATTAATATTTCCCGTTTGATCGGGCCCATACCGCTGTTCCATCAATTTAAAATCGAAATTTTAATTTTGGGGGTACTTTACATCAAGCCTCAAGGACATTTTCATTTTTTTTTCTAAAATGATTCCAAATGTTTTAATGTTTTATCAGATACAGGAAAGAACGCTCATAGGAACTGCACAGTTTCTATTGTCAATTAATTCTGTGAATTTTTGAAAATTTCAAAAGCTTAAATAATTTTCCACCTCTCCCAACAACTACAATATTGAAGATAAAATATTTTTCTTTTATATGAAATCTGTTCTTTAAAAATAGATCTTCAAATGAGGTCATGTACAATTTCTTCAAAATTTGAGTATTTTTACGTCATTTTCTCTGAAATAAAGGCAATTTTTAAACCAAAATTTTCTAAAAAAAGCAGTTCTTAATTCTTTCTTTAAACATTTTTGCAAAGATAGCGCTAAATGCACTGAGTAATATCACAAACGATGTTATCTATTTATATTTTAAAAAATTCACAAAATTTTGAAATGTCTCTTACATGTACTGACCACTACCACTCACATTTATACTTCATAGTCGTGAATCTATAATGGTTTATTTCTCACATCATTAAAATTTACATAACTTGCTCTTTTTATTCATTAATCAATTGTGAGTGCAATTGCTTCAAATGATTTCCGATGACGTTACTCGAAAACTCAAAAGTTTTCTATGAAACGGAGTTCAAAATTACAAATTTTTAGAAACTTCAACGGACATCTTCTCAAAATAGTTTTGAATTTTTAAAACTTTGTGTACAGATAGTGCGAAATGTACTGAGTAACAGGATATACACCTCATTTTGGTGTTTTCTATTGATTTTTCAAAAATTACACAAATGTATTTAATTGAAATATCTTCACGTCGATCATTTTTACATTAAAGGCCTTGTCTATGTGTGTACAATTTCTCCAAATGATTTTTTGTGAACTTTCTCGAAAACTCAACTGTTTTCTGAGAAAAGGAGTTCAAAATTGTGTATTTTCAGAAACAATCACCCGACATTTTCTCAAAAACAGCTCCATATTTTTACTGAAAATTTGCATACATGACTATGTTGCATTATTATACAATATTCTTAAAGCAATATTACATTTCTACTATTAGAAGTCAATTGAGAGAATATAAAAAAAATCCTTTATGGATCAGTTGGAAATAGGGTGGGGCAATATCGAAAATCAAGCGTAAAGGGATAAGAAAACTAACTAATACTAGAGAGTCTGAGACATTCTGTAGGGTCACAAGTTTTGACACTCCTATCGAAACAGCATGTTTCGCATTGATATCGATCCACCTGTATCGAAGCCGATATTGCAGCGAACAAAACTATCGAAACTATACAGCTATCGGAAGAATCGCAACGGTTCCATTGTGCAACAGCCGTGTGTCGTTCTCGTCAATGCGCAGCTGCTCCTGCATCTGCTCCCCGAGGATCCTGTCCTCGCTAGCCCCCTCCACGCGCCTCGCTCCGTCCTCGAGCACCCGCCCCGTTCGAAACGACTCGCGCTCGCACGACACTTTTGGCAGGTCGCATAACAAACTGCACCGCTTTTTGCGTCCGCTCGCGTGACAAGTAATCGTTGGCGGTCTGCATTTTTGTAGATTCTCTTGTGCATTTCGTCATGAACTGAAACGCGAGACCTGACGTCAGAATAGCAGTAGCAATCTATTCGAAAAATGTCTTCATTTTAGAAAGAGCCGTTGTTTGGAAATAATGAGGTGCATTTCTAGTCGAAAAACTTGTTTAAAATTGATGGAACGTTGAATACATGGGTTTCCGTGTTGGCAATTGCTTCGATTGATATATCATTTTGTTTTAACGTGAAGCCATGAATGTTTCTAGAACAATGGGACAAAACAACCAAGTCTCCATTTACCGAGATTTTGTAATTCGAAATTCATAATTAATCAATGGTTTATCCCAGAAATTTCAAATAAAGCATTCATATATGAACTGTAAAATCTTAAATCTTATATTAACTATTTATACAAGTAAATTCAATATTTTTAATGCGGACTCTGGCATTTTAAATTTTGTAAAAGCTCACAGAGTTGCAAAACAATGGGGTTGCAACACACTCGAATGTAGAAAGGAAATAATATACCTGTCTTCAACTTATCATATTTGAATGAATCTGATGTCGTGATCTATTGCAATTCTTAGAATATAAATATCGATAGTATTTTGCATGGAATGAAAAACTAATATAATTATATTTTTTTAATTAATGAGTTAACACTTTGTCTATTGTCTAGTAATCGTGCTCTTCATGACTTCTCACCCCACGGGAATTTCAAAATCCTTATTGTCAGTCTTTTGTAATACTTCATGTTGAATGAATGCTAATAAACTGAATCCTCTCACATTGACTACACACGTTCAATGTATGTCAAAACAATACCAATATTCTTCAGGCTATTATATTTTTCTAAGTAAACTATTTTCAAACATTTACAATTGTCACGTTTCCTAACCACTACATTTGATGTGTCGTGTCATTTGCGGCCGGTACACGCAAGACTGACGAGACATTTTCGGATGCACATTAATAGTATTCAATTTCAGATTGCGGTCAACAGTTCGAGTCTCCTTTATGCTGTAAAACATACTGTTTTATACATTCATGCTTACTTACGGGTACATATTGCGAGGTTACATTGTATTCATTATTCATATTTTTTGCGTACACCTTAACCTACAACATGAAGTGCGGTGTACAGAATTGCGCAAAAACGCTGTAAAATTAATATCCCTTGTAACCAGCTCTCTTCTTAATTGTCTATCTGTTTTTTTTATTCTTTCGACTTCGCATGACGTTTCCTGTTCGACAGCTTGATCTACAAAATGTCTATTGTTGACGAATAACCAATAACGATGACCAAACTCGGGGGTTAATGTTCGTGATTTTTCTATATATTCGTCTTACCGCGAATAGAATGTTGGCGACCAGCTACAAAGAATTGATACATGTCTTGACTAGAAAATCATAAAGTGATGGATAATAATTATGTGAGATATATGTTGTTTTTCCATTGACTATAATTACAAGGTGAAATGTCGTCGATCCAAAATCTCTCTACTTATACGATATCGCTAATGACCATTGCGCGTAAACAATCAAAGTAACTTACGGAGTTTCCGTGGATGCGAGGGGTATCTATGGCTTCATTAGGCACACAGGAATTCGGAAAAAGAGAATTAAACAGTTTTGATATTTATTTAAAAATTTCTCATATTCACCAGCTGAATTCTAATACTCAGTTCGTTACTTTCAATATAGCTAACGTCATGAGACAGATATCTCCCATCGTTAAATATTCGCTATTCACGAGTTGCGCTACGGAATCGCGACATGTATGATATTCTTGGTAGGTAAAGAACGGTTGTACTGTGATTCTGTAAATATAATACAACGTTATTGCAGTATTCGCTACCTTTTTTGCTAAAATACTTATTATTTTAGTTTATTTTTAGTCGAATCAACAGCGTGGTTATAAGTGACTAATAATTAATTTATTCCATTATTCAGAGCATTTTATTTGTTGTTCTTGAACAGTATACTGTTAATATTTGGAAAATCATTTCGTGTTGTTTTGTTCATCAGCACTTTTGCTGGTGCAGGCCACTAGTCGAATCTAAAAATCATTATTTGCCAATAAACTAAAACGACGACAAAAAAGCTCTATGTCCAATCTCATACAAAAAATATTATCATGTGTGATTTTAAAATGTTTGAAGACAAAATATAATTAATCTCAACAATCACTAACCTTCAAGGCTTGCATTCTATTCTTAAACAACAAACTGCTAGTTGACCACAGCGAAACAACTAATAAGGTGCACTTGATAGTTTAGTTTAACGATCTTTATGAAATTAAAAGTTTAGCAAACAAACAAAGATATATTCAGTACTTTGCATCGAATTAAAATAAGGAAACCGACGCATTCGCTATTCAGCAACATTTCAGTCGCAAAAAGCAATCAAAAATGGATATAGGTTGGCATTACATTCAATACTACTGTGGAATAGAGATGGGTCATCATGAGGGGTTAATTAAATGTGACGTTGGTTGAAGGAGAGGAAGGAAAATTATTCAGGCGCAGAGCGAGGGTCCATTTCATCAAGTGAACGTGGACGACAAATAATAAATGTCTTTGAAATGAAACGATATTTAATTAAGTACTATTCTACATTACTATATTATTATAAAATAAACATTATTTTCATTTTAGATACCTTGTACAGTATCTAACTATAGCACAAACATTATTGTATTTGGCATTTGAACTTAGTACGTGTATATTTTAATTATGGAATGTCTTCTGGCCGTTAACGAACGAATGATTAATTGTTGTGAACTGCGGCTACTCAAAATCCTTTTTTCCCATTCGATCGTCGGATCCTCTGAGCATCCTCTTTCCTACCAGTCCACCCATTCACCCGTCCATCCGTTAATCTGTCCGCCTATCTTTCCAAATACACGTCCACCTGTCCGCACGCCCACCCATCTATCCACTCACCTACCCATCCGATAGCCTGTCCGCTCGTCTATCTAACCACATGTCCACCGTCATCAATCTGTTCACCTGTCCGCCCGCCCACCCATCCATCCATCCACCTATCCACTCAACTTGTCCGCTCGTCTATCTAACCACATGTTCACCGTCATCCTTTGATCCATTCATGCTTCCTCCCGTGCACATCTCAATCCATCCGCCCCACCAGCGACCTGCCGACAATCTTTGTCCGCTCGTCCATCCAACCACACGTCCACCGTCATCTATCGACCGTTCGTCGATCACCGGTCTACCCATCTATCCGTCCACCCATCCACCCGTCCATCCGTCAACCCGTCCACTCGCTCTATCCACACTCGTCCTTCCACCCGGTCACCCGTCCGCCCGTCTATCCATCCATCCACCGGTTCACTAGTCCACGCATCCAGCCGTCCACCCGACCGCTGTCCGCTCGTCCGTCGCTCCGGGCCTGCACTCACCCGTCCTATCCGTTCGATAGGCCTATCCAGTTGGCGGCGAGGGCCCGCGCTTTCTCTCTCTGCTCTCCTGATACGGCAGCGCGCGAGCGATAACGTCGACCGAGCGGCGGCGTCCGCGGTAGCCACATCTCGCGTGCTGCCTGGTGGAGGCGGCTCGCTGCATGTCGATGAGCGCCACTGTCGATGGCACCACTCTCGTACGCACGCACGCACGCACGCACACTCGCGGGAGCGTGTTCAGATGGAATCTCCTTGCCTGGACGGTTGTTTCGCCGTCTTCGGCGCGGTCGATCGCTAGACAGCTCTGGTGGTGATGAAAAGCTCTTTATAGTCCGTGCCTGCCCAGTAAGCTGGATTCACTGGGTAGTGGCCCGGAAAAGAACTTGACGTATAATGAGGGATATTTCCTCCCTTCACTTCTCTTCTTCCCCTTTTTTTGCCCTTTTATGTTTAAAGCTCCCCCTCACTACCCCCCCCCACTACTGCATATCTCTTGTTGCGACTTCCAGGAGTGTGCGCATTGAGTGCCTTCTTGGTTGCACTCGTCTCTACCTACTTAATTTTCTCAGAACTAATGAATTGTTGCGCGTGTCCCGGCGGCAATAGATACGCCTTAGGCCCATTCGCGGGCCTGTCGCGGGCATTTGCAAAGTATGTATTCACCAATTCAGAAAAAGTAGATTACCAAATCCATGAGCGCTGCTCCAACCTGTGTGTATACGTCTGTCGCTTTCATTATGATATGGCTCATTTAATAGAAACGGTTCTGCATCATTTTTTAAAAACAACATTCATATCAATTTCCTGTTACAAATTTATTAAATATTAATAACAATAATTTAACAACAATATATTTGATTAGCCATCATTTCAATTTATCAATTACATTCGCAGAGTAGTTTTAATCTGATCAAAATTATCAAAACATCGGGATTTAAAGTGCTGTGTATTTACATGTGCACAATTTACATGTACGACAAGAGAATTGTTAGGTAGCATCACGTTTTCCACAATGAAATCAGCGCATCTCTTTACCAATTTTATCGCCAATTTTGTCAAGCGATTGCGTGCTTAATGAACAGCGCGATAACTCGTCTGGTGAACATTGCCTCCAGCAGGCCTCTTAAAGTTTGTGCTTGGAAAATATGTGTTTATCAATGGAATTGGTCTGCTGAGAGATGAGACAAGGACGTGACACGCACTTGGAAATGTACAGGACTTTAAAAAAATCAACAGAAATAGTATGCTTCAAAATGATATATTATTTATAAATGTATTTTATTATTATTTTTTGCATTTTACGTATTTTTAAAATGTAAAAATTCAAACTGTTCAATAACATTAGTCTATTTGAGCAGCAATAGAACCCGGAAATCCTGATTAACGTCCAATTGAATAATGAATTAAAATTTAACAGTGGCAAACATTTGAAAATTATTTAAATTATAACTATTTCTAGTACAATAATGATTATTAGTACAGAGATTAATATAAATATCACAATGTTTTAATTTGAAAATATAAATTAAATTTGTCAATTGAAAGAAAATGCATTAGTTTTGACCACACGTAGTTTTTAAACGCGTTTTATATGGCACGATTTTGTCCTTCATTGTCTTCATTCGTTAGCGAAATACCTTTGTATGTGGATATTAGTTACGGTTTTCTAGTGTGTGCCAAAAGCATAAACAATACATTTTCCAAAACGAAATGTTATGTAAAGAAATGTATGAATTATATTGCATGAAAATTCGTTCTGAACCCAACTTCGCCCGTATAGCTGGGGTGTCTTGTTACATGAATTAAATTTACTATTGGATCGGTCTGCCATCTGCAGGCTTCTGTCAGGAATATCACTCCCATTAATTTATAGCATTAAAGAATACTATCTCCAAAAGAACTTGCCGCTGGTCCTCTAGATCGAACGTTAAAATTCACATTAGTGAGAAAGGTGACTCCAATGCATACCATTTGTATTTACAAAACTGCTCATTCGAAAGTTTTACTCTCTTGGTCCAATTTATAGAAAATTGCGAGGTGTGCTGCGAATACGTAGATCAGTGTGTTTTGTATATGATCAGGTAAAGTAAATTGCATGAATTCTGATAAAAACTAGGAGAGCTAGTGCTATAACAGCATTATTTTTAACTTCCTCTTTTTTCGAAAATACAGAGATGTCAACAAAAATTACAAATACGCCAAAATTGTATGCGTCGAATGCCCTATCAGATGAAAATATTTAAAGAAAAGGTTGGGAGCCGCTTTTGAAATTTCTTTATAAATTGCATTAATTAAGCAAAAAGTATGTGAACACTATTGTTGTTTGTTTTCAAACACAATTCACAATTTAATTTAAAAATATATTTTTTAGAACATATTTCTCAAAGGAAATTAATCTGGAGTCAATATTGGAGTTTCGCGATGTTATTTCTTTTCAAATTTCGAAAACACAGAGAGCACCCCGAAATATATTCTGCGCAATTTTTATAAGAATATTTTTCTGTGTTAAAAAAAATTAAAAGAAAGAACTTTGAAGCCGTTTTCTGATTTTTTAAATTTCTATTATTTGTCACCAAATTACGCGATAACTACTACGATTTAAGAAAAAGTGTACATAACCTTTATACAGACCTATATTTGAATAACATATTTTGATAATGAAAAATATGTCTTCAAAATTGTACATGTAGGAAATAGCCGAAACAATTTTTAATTTTTGAATTAAAAAAAATGAGATCTATGCCATTTTTAAGCGTTATTTGCTCGCTCCAAGAAAAAAAATAATCTAAACTTCTGTTGTCATTTTTCACCATTTTCGTTGCAGCATTACAATACTTTCTCTTTCCTACATAACTGCGTAGTAGGTGAGAAGTACAATGAAACAGAAAATAATAGAATTTAAGTGTAATTAATTCTTAATTTTTTTTTCTTTTCAGGATTGTACGTTTCCTCCACTGAAGCTGCCCATAAAGGTTTGTCCAGCCGCATAGCTTGCGAAGTGAAGAGCCCGTGAGCAGCGTCGTTCGCGAGTACGAGCGAAGCGTCTCTCGGGCGTCTTAGGCCGGGTCAGCGTGGATCCCTTTGGGGACGGGACGGCGAGGAGGAGGGGCGGAGCGAGGTCGGCGCCAGCCACGCGTGTTCTCACCACTGCGCTCTGGCGCTGTCGGGCTCTTTGCCTCCGCCGCCCCTCGGCGACACAGCCCAGCGCGCCCGCCCCCGCGCCCCCCCGCGGCCGCACCGACTGCGCCGCTCAACCGCCCACCCCCCCTTCGCCCCCCGCATCCCGCAGCCGCCGCCTCGCACGCCCCCATTCGCCCCACCTCCCCCGCCCAACCACCTCCTTCCCGCCTCACAACCGGCGCCTCCGCCCGCCCCCTCCATCTCCACCTCATCTGCCACCACCGCGCTCACGCAGCTGCCCCCCCGCCTACACACCCACGCCCCCCACTGACCACATCACCGGGCCGCCTGCTTACCACCCCCCGCTGATGGTCCCTCGCTGAAGTCAGGCTACTCCGCCTCCACATCCTCACCTTACGTCTCGTAACGCCTCCGAAGCTACCGTCGCCATCGCCATCACCATTCCGCCACCCACTACCACTGCTCTCACCTCCATCACCACCAGAGCCAGAGCCTGCGTCTAACCCTGGCCGCCGGCGCCCGGCCACTCCGCGCCCGCCGCCGCCGGGCGCCCCAGCGCCTCTGCCCGAGGCGCCTCCGCCCGTCTGCCAGGCGGCGCGCCTTTGATCGGCCGCCAGACCTGTCCCGCCCCTTTATCGCCGCATGCTGGTCGCCGCCCACGCCCTGCCCACGCCCAGGGCCCCGCAGCCGCTCCAGCTCGCCCGCGCGGCACGGCGCTCTCCGGACCGCTCGCTTGCCATCCACGCGCCCGGTGTACTTCCAACGGCCTTGCGCAAAGCAGGAGGAGAGGGATTGCGCAAGGGAAATTAGTGGTGTTACAATAGCTCGCGCTTTCTCGCATTTTTTACAACTTTTAAAATTTTCGAAAAATCACTGAACGAAAATGACACGTGCGCCATATTTATCCTTTGCTCTGTGCGAAAAAAAAAATTAAAGTAGAAATGCGTAACGGTTTTTCAGTTCTTTTTCAACAAATTGCATTAACTTCAAAGAAAAATAACATAAAAAGGTTTTAACATCGAAAACGAAATATCGAAAAAATAGAAAACTGTTTTTTCTACTTTTTCGATATCAGAAATCCACAGTACCCGTATTCAGATTAAATAAGAACACAATCAATATTTCGCTTTATTACATTTTATTGCATAATAGACAGACCTATGCTCCAAAAATTCCAGACATTGAGGTTTCGTATTCATATACGCAAAAGCCAAGCATTATTAGTGGTGACAGTTTCAGATAAAGAAAATAAAAAGAGAGATACTTCGTATACTGAAGTTGGCAGTTCTACTAAGGATTGAAACTCAATCGCTATCAAGCAAGACTTTTCGGGAAATATATTTCCACAAGAAACAGATTAGATTTGTTTAACATAAACGTAAAATTAGGTATAAGATTTATTAGTGAAGGTTTTAATCTTCAGAATATTTTGAAAAAATTAAGCTTTCAATACATTAGACTTAATTTATATAGTCTCTCGACATTTTTAATTTTAATTCGCTAATCTACAGTGTTAGTGACGTCACATTCATTGTAGCTGGGTGGGTTTAGGTGAAAATAAAGTGTATGAAGTATTTATTTATTTACGTCAAAAACGTGATGACGTACTATGGGGAGAAGTTAATTTGAAGTTACATTTATGTCCAGAAGCAAAATAAGGCAATTAATAGCAGAATCAATATTCTGGTAATTCGATTATGAGTACGGCATTGCGGTACCTCTCGTTCGGAAAGCCTTGTAGAGCAGCTAATCTTCACGACGCGGAAGAGGTTTGCAAATCCCTGTTTCGTCAGTGGGGGTATATCACCAACCGATTCGATTAGCAACCGTTCCGTCGAGCCATCGTCAGGTGCAGCCTCTCCCGCTGGCTGTGTGAAGGGGTGCCGGAGTCGTCGCCGCCTCTGCCTCTGAGGCAGGCGGAGGCAGCTAACGGTGCGAGGCCATCGCACGTACGCGGCTAACGAGGGGACGCTCCTCGCCCGGCCACATCCCGCTCGGAGCAACACGCCGCGCCCGCGCTCAAAGGGCCGCCGCCAGCGCCAGCGCCAGCGCCCCGATCGCCGCAGCCCTGCATCTCCCTTTTCGCCGCGCAGTCTGCAGAGCGGGGCGTGGGCCGTGCAATAACTTGCGAGCTTGCAGGCTAATGGGACGGCCTCTTTGTCGGGGAAGATAGCAGCAGAGTTCTAAAAGGCAAAGCCGAAAGTTTAGCTTTCGAGACACGCAGAGGTATAGGCATATGGTGTACGAGCGGTTTAGGCTTGCATCTCCGGTTCTAAATCTGCTGTCTTGGGATTTTTCCCTCAATGAAAACTTGAGGTTAATTGGGATTAATGCGTTTTTATTAGTATTTAAATGTTTTTTCTCGTTCCATGTACATGCTTTTAAATGTTTTTAAATATAGTTTCTATAACTTTCTGAATCCACAGCGTTGGAAAAAAATTGCACTGTATACTATATTTTGTCTTATTTTGTCCAAGAGTCTTTGTTTAAGTAGAGTATAAAATAGAACCATGGCAAAAGAAGGGGATGAATCTTGTTCTTATGTGCAGTAAATTACCTCCTATAACCCGCTGTGTAGTTAGAGTGTGTGTGAGCGTTATGTGTGTCGTTCAAACCAAAACTGAAAACCGATGAAACCGAAAACATCTGTCTGTCTGTGGATCACACTAGGGTCTAAATCGTTCCGACGAGTTAATATTCATCGATCGATCTGACAAAACTCAAGTTCCTTGGAGTTTCAAACGATTATTTTGATTTTTAAAGCTACTGTACATACCTCAACAATATTTTCAAAATTGGCTCAAAAAATTATTCCATGTTTTAGTATTATAGTCCTCCTTTTAATAACCAAAGGAACGCTTACAGAAATAACGCAGGTCTAATTTTCATTGATCTTTCTGAAGTTTCGAAAGTTGCAAATTTTCAATATTTTTTGGATGTCTTACAACTACAATATTGGAGATCGAGATTTTCTACAATAAAATCTGTTCTGCAAAGACTGATAATTAAGACATGTTCATTTTTAAAAAAATATAAGTAGTTATATCGAACTATTGCGTAAAATAGGGGCAATTTTTAAACACATTTCTCAGAAATAACTTAAATTTTTATTTTATTTTCTCGACATGCTGCATAAACATTGCGTAGTTTTCATTTTTGTTTAACTTTCTTAATTTTTAAAAATTGCAAAAGTTGCAGAAACTGAGAGAAAATATGTGCTGGTGCAGCGTCTCTAATTCATTGATCATCTTTCATGTCTGTACAGTTTCTTGGAACACCCTCCTTTCAAACACAAGACAGTAATTGGCCAGTAAATGATGCAAGAGTTGAACGTTGTGAGAGTAATGTGCCCGTATAAAATATTGGTAGTAATAGTATAATGACATGAGGAAGGAAAACAAGTTTGAAAACAACCCTTTGGTTTCATAGTTCTTGTAGTTTAATTTTGAACCAATGAACTCAGACAAACACACATCTCGTTGAGGGATTTGAAGTTTTGTTCTTATGTTGATTCATAACAATAAATGAGAATTGTTACGAGATGAGAGAAGTTTCTTGTGAGATCATACCTTTGAAGAGATTACCTCGCAAAAACACTTCTAATGGGAGGAGTCTCTAAATAGAGTCTAATGGAATAGAATAATCGAATAATAAAGAATTAAAACTAAACAAATTAAAATTATCCCTGTTTTTTGTGAATATTTTCTTGATAATAAAAGATTAAAGTAATACACAATGGCAAACATCGCAATTTATGATCTACTTACTAGTTACTACGACGAGCTAACTACTAAAATCGTTTGCGTGTTTATGAACTTACAACATCTCGTGTGTGTTTTCCTAATGGTTTTCGGAATGTCCGAAATACAGTAAATATTCCATAGACCTGCATAGAAAGCAATGTTTGCTTAGTAAAAAGAAATTATAAATTCAGGTTCATGAGGTTTGGACTTACAGAGTACAATAATCTGACTAATTTAGTTACCTGCTATAAATGTAAATAAGACACTAGGAAACAGGTTATAATTTCTTCCTTCAGCTATACCCTGACATTAAACATATTTCACTTTATCATCTGACAAAGTATAAACTGACTGGAAAGTTATAGTACGTTTATCAATTGTCTTGGAACACTTCGAAGAGTTGAATATGAAGCAGATATCGAATGTCAATGATCTTCATCAGCGTTGCATGATTCTGTTTTCAGAATGAACAAACTATTATACACAAAGGATAGTTGAAAAGTGATAATAAAAAGGTTAGTGTTAATTACATTACGTTGCTTAAAATTACACCAACTTCAGTCAATTATCGACCTCTACGTTACTGTCATCGTAATTTATTATTATTATTATTATTATTATTATTATTATTAATATAGTTATTATTGTTGTTGTTGATTTTAAAGGTATTGGTATGTTATTTTAGTTAGATTTGATAAATTGGTTGCTTGTTTCGTTCGCTTAGTATGATTTTTTTATGAGTCCTTTCTAATGATCAAATACTTCACGGATAACATATGTTACGATAATCTGAAGTGACAACAATGAGATAAACAATTAGTTATATTCCATCAATACAAGCAAATCGTATTTTTAAACAAAGAAATAATAGTTATTAAACATACAATTTTGATATGGATGTTATACCATAATTCATCGCTTCTATAACACGATGCAGTAGCCGAGAGGTGCTGAAGTTTCTCTTATTTATATATATATATATATATATATATATACTATATATAATAATATATATATAACTAAAAAAGTATGTTATTATGTCTTCCCATTAGAAGACACGTTCGTTCTGTCTGACCATTAAACCCGAATGACAGCGTTATTGAGCTCTTAGCGCACTGCCAATAGAAACATTAATTTCCTCCAATAGTTAAAGTAACATTGTCGGACAATAAAGTACTTAGGGCAAAAAACGGGTCGAATTTGCTTTCTGCAAGTGCCAATCCGCTTGCGGAACACCGTGTGGGCAGGGTGGTGTCTGGAAGGCCGGCCTGGTGCCACGGACTGCATAAAGTCCGTCCATCCGCACGCGCCGCCCCTCCACCGCTTTGAAACCCACCACCCCGGGGCTACTTCCCTTGGAAATGGGCCCACACTCCCCGCCCCCCACACCGCTCCTCGCCCTCCCTTCACTGCCCCTGCGGTCCTCGTCCGCCCACCTGCCACCCGCACTTGCTCCAGACAGCCGCTGTCTCCGGGACGGCGCGTCGGCAGCCCACTTCCGCGCTCTGACACGCCCTGTGCGCCGGGGCAAGCGATTGCAGGAGAACCTGCGTTGCAGCCCACT